GGTCGGTTCTCATTTACCGTGTTATCATAATCTTCAAATGCTTTCCCTGTCATCGGTGTTGATCAGCCACCCTCCATCTCTGCTGTTGCCTACCAAAAGGAAAGTACTTAAGGGCATTCCTATTTACGCCACTACTTCTGCAACGTTTTCAGTCTACAAGCCGTGTGCTTTACCTGTAAGAGGAAGCATACATTCCTCCATGACATTAAAACGACACCATACGGTACACCTAAAATGAAGAATAGGTTGCATGCTTTACGAGGAGCAGTTATAAACGAACAGATGCAATTCGATTTGAATGGACATTGTAAAGTCTCCGAAAAATTCATAGTCTTCAACTTAAAAAAACCTACACATGAACTTTCGTTGAATACAGAATTTGAAAAATGGGAAGATTTGCTATGAAATGCGCTGCTGCCTACTAACTCGCATTGAATCTCGCATTTCATTAAGTATTTTTATTTTTTCCCACAGCCAACGGCGATCGGCACCTTCAATTTTCTGAATGCGGAAGAGCGTTATGTTGCTGCTGCACTCATTCCGCCCATACGTTTGGACGTCTTCGATTCTGACAGACGAATGCTGAAGCAACTCGCAGATGGACGGGAATTGAGACAGGCTATCGCCGAGACATCCATATCAGGGTTACGTCAGTTACCCCCTGAACGGAAGAAACTAATTTCCTCTGAGGAGGCTCCCCCCTTGGAACCTCCCACATCCCATAAATCGGGGAAGGGGTAGCAGTGAGACATGAGGATTTGTCAGTTTGTGCCCTTCTTTACTAGCAATATACTTTCTTCAGACTGACTTTGTTTTCTTACCCTTGGCTTAGTTTTGGACGCCATGCAGTCTCTTCCGCTTATTTCTGTCTGTCTATGACAAATTTCGTTTATTTTGACCGTTACTTTCGAAGGAGCGCTATAAATGACTGCGAATTTGAGGGGGGGGGCAACAACGCTGTTCGGTGGTCTGAAATGAGGTCATTGCGGACCAACCTACCTCCCATCGTAATGTTCAACCCGCCGATAGTCTACCGGATAATAGGAATAGGGTAATGTTCGAACTTGCTCGGCCAAATAAATGAGCTCACTTTCAAATAGAGCTCATACCGAAAGACAACCATTATTATATTCATTCCAAATCTGATAACGCTTATATACCTGTGCTACCTCTGCTATTTTGAGATTTGATTACCTCCACACTTCCAAGTTAATGGCTCACTAATTGCGCGTCGCAACCAACTCTATACGGACGGTTGAGGTTGGAGTCATTTAGGATCGACACAGTAGATACTGAGAAAAAGACAACTCGATCGCTGGGACAGTACTTTTATTTGTCTGACGTTTCGACATCCGTCGCAGATTCATCATCAGAGACATTATCATAAAACGGTAGCAGACCCTTTACTGTAGATACTCCCTTAAAAGGTTTTCAGCCCAACAGCCTGCTTATTGAGTCTTAAAAAGACCAACGGTTATCATTTTCCACACTGACCATGTTAGCCAACCCCAGCCCAAACGTATAGTCGCAGGCAGCTACACTATGCCTATTCGTGGCAGGGCCGAGTCGCGGCATCTGTTTATGTAGGAGCATTCTTTAGAGAGCAATTTTTATGCTCCATCTCCCTTAATTGGATTCCTTGTGCATAGGTGGGCCCCGAAGGTGGGAAATGTTGACGAAGAGTCTCCCTTCCCCACTAGCCAGCCGGTTGTCCACCAAAGGAGAAGCCGAAGAAGGTAGTTAGTCAGCACGTGAAAGAAAGTGATGGGTGGGCTAAAACTTCCTGGGAGCCGAACTGCAGGGGTAACGGTCTTCTCTGCTGATACATGATAGGCCAACTGCTTTCGCCGAAGTTTGTCAAGGGCAGGCACCTTTACTTATAGCGTTTTTTCTCAGCAGCGTGAAGCGAGCATGAGCCGAATGTGCAGACGATGCTAGAGGTAGAAAGGATACGAACTATTTCCTTTGCAGTCGACTAAGTGAAAATCAATCTACAGCCAGGCTGCAGTATAGTAGTGTCGCCGGTCGAGATATGGCTGCCGCGTCCGTTTTTTTTCTGATGCTTGCTTGTCTGCACTTTTTTGTGTTTAACCAAAATATAAACTCTGAGACCCTTTATTTGACCTACTGCTCGTATAAGTAAGTTGTGAGTTATCGGAACCTTTAATTCCCGATAATTGACTGTTTGCTTGTGTTCATAATAAGATACTAGGGTAACATTACAAATTCTTGTCGTCTCTTTAACACTACAATTACTCCAGAGACGAAAACGTGCACTACTTCTCTCAATGCGTTTTGTACGGTAGCGTTTGCCGGTTGGACACAGAAAGGTGGACCTCCCCACTCCCACCACTCGTACCGCAGGTGGTCTTGCGATAAATTTAAAGGGGCATCTGTTCCTGTGTTCTGACTCTAAACCCCATTGCCCCAACGCCAAAACTAAACTTAAATTCCTGGAATTGAGCACATTGCACCCAGTAATACAGGTGATCCACATTCTCAAGCAAACCGTCTTTGAGTAGATACGACTTTCAGCTACTCTGTCTTGAGCTTTGAAAGCACCACGTAGCGGTTTACTTTGAGCGTGTTAATCAAATCCATGAATACTGTCCACCGTTTGGACTGTTAATGGACGAGCACTTTAGGGCTTGTCTCCTCTTCACTCAGTCGAACCATTGTTAACAGAATCTCCAGTTGCACTTACACTACTCAATTCCTCTGTTTAGCCCGTCACCATTAAAGGGAAATGCATCTCATTAGTTAAACTGTTGGTTTACTGACCCTACCGTTTCTTCAGTCATTCCTGTCGATTTACCTCGCAAGCTAAAACTCTCTCTCTACTTCTTAGCATGAAGTGATATGCTTCTGGGCACAACAGGGATAGGAATTTGTCATCCTTGTGGTCGCAGTCTACTTCTCTGACGTCTTTTCCCTCTTCTTTCACACGGGTAGCGAGCACATACAAGTCACTAAGAAAGTACGCAGTCTGGGTCTGTGGTCAAGTCTCGCTTCGCTTACGACCTTGGATTTCTAAGTTTTTTTCCCGAGAATTTAATGTCTCATTTCCTTTCATGCCACGAATTTTCAAAAAAATTGGATTCCCATATTCCTCTGAGTTCGCCTTATCGTCCACACATTCAAAAACGCACAACTTCTAATAAGGCTTATCTTGTATAGTTAGTAGATTTTAAGCTCTCTTAGGCGCCGTTTGTGACAAGAACACTAAATACAGTCCCCGCCGTTTGGCACAAGTGAATGCTCGGACTTATACCAATTAAACGAATTATGAGAATCCAACCGATAGCAGGAACCTTTTCATCCGCACTCGCTCCCCTAGACACAATGTGTGTTCTGGGTCAAATTTTTGAAAATAGGAAAGTTCCTGCCTGAAGCCGGGGCAAGCTTCGGTATCGGGGAGGAATCTCCTGTGGTCCAGACTTGTTTAGGAGGGTGATCTTCTCTTATCCCCTTCACATGTACCATCATCACCTGTTTAATTTCAGGGATGATACCAATGTAAGCATTCAGGAAGTTAAAATGAAAGCGAACCATTCCAAGGTCCTACGTCATCGGATACTTGCGACGGCGTAAGCAGTCACCATAAGGCTCACTAACCGGATCTTATGCGCACAGAAGTCATTTGTAACGGCCTTAAGGCTCCCATGGCCGAAGGCCAACTCAATGTCCGGCCGCACACCTCCTACTATGCCGCAAAACGGTGATGAGCCAGTGACAACCGGTGTCCAAACCCCACGAAGCGGCGATTGGTTGATTGATATTTTGTTAACTCTACCTTCCCTTTATATTATGGTATTTGCCTGACATGAATTACTCGAAAACGTTCGTTCGCCTACCTTGACTTCCTGAATCCTCATCTGTCTTGGTTTTCCCCTGTGTTTTTTACCCTGTTGCAGGTAGATGATGCGCCGTCTGACAGATGTCGCCGTCAAGGGATGCACGTGTGGATTACCGCGCCGTCTCACTGGCCACAGGTTCTTCGCTTCTTCCAGCAGCGAAGTCACCACATCGGGACAGAAACGTCTCCCTGATGACGACGCTCATGTCTCTCCGACTCTCAAAAAGTACTTTAATCAAACACGACTCGCTATGCAGATGCCAATGATGACGCGCAAGTATGCTGTCTCCAAGGCTGCCCTCATTCCCAGTTTTTTCATGGGCCGGCTTCAGCTGGTAAGTGCGGCGGCTGGCGTTAACCCTGGCTGTCCTTCTGTCTGTACATGACAATTCGGCTGTCGCTTATGACGATGTCCGCCGCGTGTTTAAAAAAAAACGAGGCAAACGGGGTGACTTACGTGTGGATTCGTTTTAGATATCAGTAGACTTGCGTTGCATCTACCGCACCTCCTCCCCCCGCCTGGGCTCGGTGTCATGTCCTAGTCAGGAAGAACGGAGGCGAATGAGAACGCAGGTGGTTTACGCGGCCAGAACCCTACCTGAGC